TTGGTACCAGGGATCGAACTTGGGTCCTTGCCCTTGCGTAGCAGGCGTCAAAACCACTGAGCTAAATCCCCGGCCCGGAAAATTATATTTTGTTAATATAGTTAAATGTAGTAAACATACACCAGTATTTCATTTAAGTATGTATGTATGTATGTATTTATTTATTTATTTATCTATCAGGGGCTGGGTCATACATGCCAGGTTAAATGCTCTGCCACTGAGCTACACCCCAGCTCTTTTTTACTTTTTGTTTGTTTGTCTGTTTGTTTGAGACAGGGTATTGCTATGTAGTTCAGGCTGGCCCTGAGCTTACTATGTAGTCCAGGCTGGCTTCAAACTTGCAGTGATCTTCCTGCCTCAGCCTCTCAAGTGCTGGGATTACAGGCATGTGCCACCATGCCTGGCCTCAGCTTTTACTTAAAAACATGTTGCCAAGTCTGGCATTGAACTCTTGGGCTTAAGTGATCCTCCTGTCTCAGCCTCTAGGATACAGGTGTATACCACAGCACCTGACTTTATACGGCAAAACACATTTTAAAGACTAAAATTCATTTGGGGGTGGGAGGTGAGTCTCAGGGATAAGAGTGCTTACCTAACATGTGGGGTTCTGGATTTCACCCTCAGTGCCACAAAAACAAACAAATTCATCTAAAAAAACCCTTGTTCAAGGACCTGGGATTTAGCTCAGTGGTACTGCCACCTGCTTCACAAGCACATAGTCCAAAAGAAAACAAAAAAAACCCCTCGTTCACTAGCCTAGAATCATACTTTGATCTAACCGTAAACCTCTCTTAATAAAACGGACTCTCTTTAAACGACTATGTATTTTTAACATGAAATCAACCCCCCCCCACACCTGCTTCCCAGCTACTGTAGAGACTGCTCATCTAGAGACAGGTGCTCTCTTCCTCCTGCTTAAGCTGCTACAGGAAACAAAAGGCAGCATTTGAGTTTGTAACATTGAAGACAATCCCAGCACTGCAGCAAAGAAAAATAAATACTGAGTTACTAAAGGACTTATTAATCAGGTGGCAAATCCTGGAGTTCTTCCAATTTCTAACTCTCTCATTCATCCAGGCAGAAAAAAAAAAGGTATAAAGAAAGGATCTTTAAAAATAAAAAACAAGCCAGGCATGGTGGCACATGCCTGTAATCTCAGCACTCTGGGGAGGCTGAGGCAGGAGGATCAGTATAAGTTCAAGGCCAGCCTGGGCTACATATGGCAGTGATTTAAGGCCAATCTGAACTACATAGCAAGATCCTGTCAAGAAAAAGAGAGAAGGGAAAGGGAAGGGAGGGAAAAGGAGGGAAAGGGAAGGGAAGGGAAGAAGCAAGCAACTTTTTTACGTTTATACCAGCTTCTGTACTGGTAGATGCTTAACATAGGTTTTATACATGTAAATGCAACTTACTCCTCCAGTTTAAACTGCTTTACAGCTGTTAGTGATGATACTGTTATCAAATAAAAACTAGGCATTGGTCCCATCACTTGGAGCTATATATCTGTCTCACAGTTTCAAATATAAATGAAACAAACAATACTCAGAATACAGGATCTTTTTAAAAAAAAAAAATTCTCTGGGCATGGTGTTGCAAGTCTGTAATTCTACCTACTTGAGATGATGAGGCAGGAGGTTGGCCTGGGCAATTTAATGAGACTTTGTCTCAAAATAAATAAAAAGGGTAGGTGACGTAACTTAATTAATGGTACAGTGCTTGCCTAGCATGCACAAGCCCCTAGGTTCAAACCTCAGCAATGACACAAAACCAAACCAAATCACAATAGTAGTATCCTTCACATTCTGAAAAGAATACTTCTGGTTATACCTATGACCCACTTAAAGAGAAAAACTAGCCGGCTGTATGGCAAATTCCTGTAATTCTAGCATTGGAAGTCTGAGGCAGGAGGATCACCGTGAGTTTGAGGACAGCCTGGACTACATAGTGAGTTCAAGGGCAGCCTGAAATACACAGCAAGGCTCTGTCTTTAAAAAAAAAAATTTATACCCGGGGACTTAGCTCAGTGGTTCTGGTGCCTGCCTCAAAAGCACAAGATCCCAAGTTTGATCCCAGGTACAAAAAAAACCTGAAAAGGTCCAAGGGTTAGGGGATGGTGGGAGGGGAAGGGGAAAGGAAGAATTATGAGAAAGAAAAAAAAATGGAATCAAACTCTGTGTAAATAGGGAAGGGTGGAGGGGGTGAAGGGTGCTCAGGTAATGGGAAAAAAAATAAAAACTAAGATACATCATGTTCTGGTACAAACACCCAATGATAAATGTAAATGTATTGTATACCTAAAATGTACCAATAAATATATATATATATAAATAAAAATACTGTATCTACATATAGATATATCTATACATTAGTACTTCAGTTCACAAATGCTTTTGTTTGCAAACAATCTGGTTCACAAACAGAAGCAGCTTGGCAAAATTTTGTTTTTGTTGCAAACTCTACATTAGGCAATGAACACAATTGCAGCTATCTTCCCACACAAACACAAACATGGCCATCTTTTCCAAAACAGTGGAACAAATTAAGTTTGTGAACTGAGGTACCACTGTATATATAGCTATATATGTATATAGAGACATATACAGATATCTCCTATGTGTATGCATGTATATATTTGTGTGTGTGTGTATTTCCCCCACTTCCATGCTAGGGATCAATCTCAGGGCCACAGGCATGCTAGGCAAGTACTCTACTACTGAACTACACCTGTGGCCCTAATACTTTATTTTACCATGGACCTTTGGTGTCTCTTAATCACAATATTCATATATATTCATTTAGATTATACTATACAAAGAGAAATCTGTGTTTTCTACTTACCAAGGCAAGTATTGGTATAGGCACACCAAATATCTCCTCATCCACTGATCCAAAATTGTGGCTTGAAATGAGATTGATCAAAATGTTAGTTATATTATAGAAATATTAATTCTAAAATTCAGCAAATTTTTAAAGCATAGGCCCAAAAGTTATATAATGAACATACAAGCATCTCAAGCATGTGATAAAACCATTTTCCTCACCAAAGCAAAAAGAATTCGAGTATGGCCTTGGTGGTTTATATGTGGGTGTTCATTGTTACCTTGTGTCCTTTATAGGAGGCAGGACAGAGAGTGGTATGGAAGCCAGGTAGGTAAGGAAACTGCTCCAGCACATCTGATCATAAAAATACACCATCAGAATATAAAAGTAAAGTAGTAAAAACAAAAGAATCCAAGCTAAAAAAATACGGCAATTTAAAAAGAAATGTCTTTACCTTATATGTATCAAAAAATCCAGTTGTACTGGCATTTGAAAAGTCCGTAGCATATGCAGAACCTAAATTTACATTGGAAATAATAAATTTATTATCATAATATAAATCAGTATCTGCCCCTAGTTCATAATCTAGACCACTATCTTTAAATTCATTTCAAACTGTACACTTCCACCATGAAGTCTCCAGAGCAATTTTCCACTTAATCTTAATGAACTTTTAGAGTATACACAAGCATTTTTAAAGGCTTTATGACTTTCTGATCCCTGGTTTTTAAAAAAGAGAAAAATGGCCAGGTGTGGTGGTGGACATCTGTAATCCCAGCACTTGGAACCCTAAGGCAGGAGGATCACTGTGAGTTCAAGGCCAGCCTGAACTACATAGCGTGACCCTACCACAAAAAAAAAGAAGAAGAAAAACATTCAGAGATGCTAAGTGATCACCCATACTTATATCCACTTGCAACATGGCAGATGTACTACTGAACCATGTTTTACCACTCCTGAAAATAATGTTCTCTAGTCTTGTATGTGAGGCTTTATCACAATTTGTTATTGTTGTTGTTATTGTTTTGAGACAGGCTCTCACTATGTAGTTCAAGCTGGACATGAATTCACTATGTAGCCCTGGCCTTGATTTCGGTGGTCTTCCTGCCTCAGCCCTCCAGTACTGGATTACAGGCATGTGCCACCATTCCTGGCCTTCATCACAATAGTTTCTTACAACAGATCTAAAATAAATCTAGTGTACTGCAACACGTAGTTTTTGTTTTTTGGGGGGTTTTTTTTTGGTACTGGGGATCGAACTCCGGTCCTTGCACTTGCGCAGCAGGCGGCGAAACCACTGAGATAAATCCCCAGCCCAACATGTAGTTATTAGGTACCAAAGAACACTATGTCTGGGTTATGGCAAGTGAAAAGGGGCATGTTTGAGCAGGAATGAACTTCCACATTCTTTTAGGCAACTCCTTTCTGTTGATCCAATTTCACTTACTCAAGACAGAGCTATCAAGTCATGTTTACCTTTTGTGAGCTTGTGTAACAACCAGGTATCAATAGTCCCGAAGCAACAATTTTCTTCTTCAACTGCCTTTTGTACCTTGAAAATTAACAGCACAAAGACAGTTCAAAAAGGCTAAGGTACATGATTAAGTACAGATCAGCATATGCAATATAATCTCACTTATAAAAGTTTATATGGGCTGGGGATATAGCTCAGCAGTGTGGTACCTGCCTGGCAAGCTCAAGACCCTGAGTTCGATTCCCAGTACCAAAACAAAAACAAAAGCAAAAAAGTTAATGTATACATAGAAAAGCAATTCCTAGAATACCTTCCAAAATATTTTAAGCAATTATCACAAGGTATAAAACTTAAAGAGGAGCTTTTATTTTATTATTTCTGAAAAGTTTTAGTTTTATACCAAGCATGTATTATTTTGTGATTTTTTAAAAAACAAAATATATATATATTTATATTTTACAGATGTAAGTAAACTACAATAGCTTAAACCAGGGACATCATATACTATGGCTCAAGGGGCTGATTCAACCCACTGCTTGTTTTTGTAGAAGAATGGATTTTGGCGGCGGGGGGGGGGGGCACAGGAAATCAAACTCGGGTCCTTGTGCTTGTCAGACAGGCGGCGGCACCACAGAGCTAAATCCCCTGCCCTGGATGTTTTTTTCTTTTGGAGACAGTCTTGCTATGTAGTTCAGGCTGGGCTTGAACTCACTATGGAGCCCAAGCTGGCCTCAAAGTCATGGCAATTCTCCTGCCTCAGCCTCCTGACTGCTGATAATAATGGATTTTAACTTTTGTTAGTTTTTGTTTTGTTTTTGGTACTGGGGATCAAACTCAGGACCTCATGCTTGCCAGGCAGGTGCTGTCCCACTGAGCTACGTCCCCAGCCCAAATTTGTTAGTTTTTTGGTTTTTGCGGTTTTTTTCAGTACCGGGGATCGAACTCGGGACCTTGTGCTTGCAAAGCAGGCATGGTGCCACTGAGCTACATCCCCAGCCTTTTAAGTATATTTTTATTTTGAGACAGGGTTTCAGGCTATGCTCAAAGTTGTGATCCTCCTGCCTCAGCCTCCCAGAGTGCTGAGATTACAGGCTTGTACCATCATACCTGGCCCATAAATAAAGGTTTATATAGCTATTCATATTTATATATATATATATTCATATACATAACTATATAAACAAATGAATATAGCCAGCTATATTCATTTACTCATGGATTACCTATAGCTGCTTTTGAACTACAATGGCAGAGTAGTTATGATGCAAATCTTACAGCTCTCAGGGCCTAAAACATGACTCTTTGGCTGTTATGAAAATAAACTTCCAATATCTTGCCTAAAGCATGTCAAAGGAAACAAAAAGTGTCAAAACCTCTAAACCAGGTAGTCCAGAAACTGAAATGCTTATTAGGATAGAATTAATGTACTGGAAAACAATTTCTGAAACATCCTTTTGTTCTCCACACCTCTCCAACTCCTGTGCCCTCCATCCCTGCCCAGTCCCGCCCCTCTACTCTTCTAACTCCATCTGAGCTCCCTTCAGACACCGTCCACAGAGCATCCACACCATGCTGCTAGGCTGCAAGCTCTTCATAAACAGGAACAAGGTTGGGTTTTTTTTGTTTTTTTTCCCATAACATCCACATCTAGGCAGGTTCCCAGCATATAGAACTTTTTTAAAATTCTGTAGTAAATAACTGAAATTAAAATAATAGCAACTGAAAACATTAAAGAAGAGTTATTAATAGTAGAAAGTTTTGATCAATGAAAATGTCATGAGTTCCAAAATAAGGGGTCATTCCCAATGATGAATATGATAATGTATACCTAAATGTACAAATAAACTTAATAAATTAAAAAAGGGGTCACTTATATGTTATTTATAACTTTTTTTCTTTTTAGAGATAGGTTCTTCCTATGATCCTCCTGCCTCAGCCTCCTGAGAAGCTGGGACTATAGGTATAGGCCACCTGCACCTACCTCTATAACAAATATCTTGAATTTCTATTCAAGAGTTGTATCACTTAAATATTGAGGATTTTAAAGTAATATAATATTCCAAACTCTTCTTAAATTTATTTTATTCTAAAATGTATTGCATATACACCTTTTTTTAAATTTCCAAAGAGGTTAAATCCCTGGGTATTTAGTTAGAAGGTCTAACATACATATAATTGGATTTTCAGAAGAAAAGGAGAATGAAGTAAACATTTGAGAAAATAATGGTTCAGATGCCTTTGCACTGAGCTACATCTGCAACCATTTTTGTTTCATTATATATATATATATATTTCATATATATATTTCATTTATATATGTGTTTCATTATATATGTTTCATGTATTTCATTATATATGTTTCATCTGAGACAGGGTCTTGCTAAACTGCTAAATTGCGTAGGCTGGGTTAAATTTGCAATCCTCCTGCCTTAGCCTCCTAGAATTATAGGCTCCTGGTATTATAAGTGTGCACTATCATGCCCATCCAGCTGTGGGTTTTTCATAAATCAGTCATAGCTCAAGTTAAAGACATTTCTTTTTATTCCTAGTTCATTGAATTTATCATCCAGAGGTACCAGATAGTGTAAAATGAATTTCCTATATCTCCTAATATGCCTAACTTTTGATTTTGTTGTTTTCCTTTGTTGCTTTTCTATTCCCTGTTTCATTAATTTCTATTCTAATGTTTATTTTTTCTTTCTTTTTGCTACTTTGGGTTTAGTTTGCTCATATTTTTCTAGTGTCTGAAGATGACATGTTAGATTACTAACTTGATTTTCTTCTTTTTAAATATAGTCTTCTTAGGTAAAGTAGTCTGGCTTGCCAGCTATGGTGGCACACACCTGCAATCCCAGAACTCAGGAGGCTAAGGTAGAAGGATTATTGTGGCTTTGAGGCCAGGCCAGGCTGAGCTACAAAGCCAGCCTTACTATATAGCAAGACCCTGTCTCAAAAAACAAACATATAACAAATAAACGAAGTTTCTTTGTCACTTACTTCTAATTCCATTTCATTATGGTCAGACATATTTTTGTACAGTTCTGATCCTTTCAAATTTAGCACAGCTAAATACCCAGCTATTCCCCTGCTGGGTATCTTCCCAAAAGAATTAAAAGAATCATACCACAGTGATATATGTGCACCCATGTACATAGCGGCACGTTTGTAATAGCTCAAGCTTGGAAACAGCCCAAGGGCCCATTAACTGAAAATGGATAAAGAAGATTTGGTTTTTTTTATAAAATGGAGTACTACTCAGCCATAAAGAACAAGAAACTAGAGACATTTATAGCTAAATGGATGCACACTGAGGCCATCCTCCTAAGTGAAATAAATAGGACACATATGTATAAATACCGAATAGTTTCTCCAGTGTGAGACACTGAAAGTGTAATTAAGGATTAAAGTGAATAATTGATAATTTGAAATAGGAAGAAAAGGTTTAAAGGGGTAGGGGTGGCAGGAGGGGAAGGGGAAAGATCAGAGTTACAGGCTGGGATCTAGAAAGAATCCATATATAGATTCTGTTTAAAACTATAGGAAGAGAGGGCCAGGGATTTAGCTCAGTGGTTTTGCTGCCTGCTGTGTAAGCTCAAGGACCTGAGTTCAATCCCTGGTACCCGACCCCCCCAAAAAAAAACTATAGGAAGAGATGTAGATAAGAGACTAGGCTGGAGCTCATCAGTGGGTTGGGAAGGAAGAGTTACAGATCAAAGGAAAGAAGGGTGTGTTTCCAGAAGAAGCACATACAGCTATGTACAGTTCACAGTGCTTGATAGTGTGATAAATGACTGTTACTGTTTTAGGTACTTATCATAACATGCTGTGCTTTTCATCCTTTAGAGCACAGCCCTACTTATATAAAAGAGTTTACTGTAAAACAGTGTGCTGTTATGCCAGCGGTAGCCTCATGTATCTCGTGTTTAACTGCATATCTGGACAATATCAAGGGACCATCACAGATGACTGGCACATACCTTCTCAGTTTGCACTTAGAAGTTGGCACTCTGTGTGGTACTTTGTGATACACACTGATGAAATTGCCTAATAACATATTTCTCAGATTATATTTCCATCATGTGTCACATGACTGTATTGAAATTTAAATTTAAAAAATTTGGCCTATGTGGAGTCTACTAGCTAATTAGAATTTTTTCTAGACCACTGTTTGTTCAATAATAGTTTTGAAAATCTTTCTAAAACAAATCACACCCTTTGATGTCTTGTTAATGCTTGAGATTTTTTTTAAATTATATGGAAAAATGTTTAAGTACTTTTCAGTTTTGCTTTGGTTGAATTCTATTATATTTGAATATTATTATAGTTTTTTCCCTTCCATTCCTTTTCTTTGACTAATTTTAATTTGAATTTTTGTATATATGTGTGTTTAGTGAATGATAATAAAGTTATACATTTAAGAAAATTTAAAAAAATATTTAGCATAGCTTATATCATGACCTGACTTGGTATGTCCTAGAGAAGCAGGCATACTTGAGAAGCATGTTCTTCTGTTATTAGGTGGCGATTTCTACAAATATGTGTTAGATCTGGTTAGTTTTTATTGTTATCGAAATGTTCTATTACCTTGATGATCTTCTATCTGGTTTTTTTATCCATTATTCAAAGGGTATTAAAGTCTTCAACTATTACCATTCAGTTGTCTATTTTCCCCTTTAATTCTGTCAGAATTTTGCTTTATGTGGTTGTTTGCTTGTTTCCTTGTTTTTTGAACTTTTTTTTTTTTTGGTACTGGGGATAGAACTTGGGTCCTTGTGCTTGCAAGGCAGGAGGCAGAACCACTGAGCTAAATCCCCGGCATGTTTCCTTGTTTTTTGAGACAGGATCTCACTATGTAGTTCAGACTGACCTTGAACTCACTATGTAGCCCAAACTGGCCTTGAACTCACAATGATCCTCCTGCTTCAGCCTCCAGAGTGCTAGGATTACTGGTGTGTGCCACCACACTCAACTGTATCGTGTGTTTGCTGGCTCTGTTATTAGGTATATTATTTCTTATCATTATAAAATTCCCTTTTTTTTTTTGGTAGCAGGAATTGAACTCAGGACCTTGTGCTTGCCAGGCAGGAAGGAGCAGCACCACTGAGCTACATCCCTGGCCCTAAAATTCCCTCTTTACAGGTAGTAATTTTTGTTTTTATTTAAAACCTCTTTTGTCTGATACTAGCATCACCAATCTACCTTCTTATGGACATTGTTTTCATGATATATGTTTTCTACTCATTTACTTTTGTTTGTTTTGTTTCTTTTTTTGAGCTGGCTGGGGCTGGTTTGTTTTGTGTAGCACAAGCTGGCCTTGGACTCACTAGGTAGCCCAGGCTGACCTGGAACTCATGGCAATCCTCCTGTCTCAGCCTCGCAAGTGCTGGGATTATAGGCATGCATCACCACACTCAGCTCTACTCATTTACTTTTAATCTATCTGCATTTTCAAAATCTAAAGTGTGTCTGCTATATATACGATGCATTTGGTTTTGGGGACTGAAACTAGAGGTCCTACACACATTGACCTATAAAACCAGCCCTGTATTTTGGTTTTGGTACAGTCTAAAACTGCAATGAAAAAATAAATAAATAAATAAATAAAACTGCAAAGAAACCCACAACTTACCACTAAAATAGCTACAATAAAGACTGATAATATCCATTATAATGGTAAATGAAATAAACTCCTCACATCACTGATGGGAGGTGTATAAGTTGTTATAACCACTTTGGAAATGTGTTTTGCCATTATTCACCAACATGTAAAACATACAGACACATTTGTGCCAAAAACCTTCCATCTTACATATAAATACCACATTTATTTTAGAGCAAAAACTGGAAAAACTCAAATATATATGAGCAAAATAAGCTACAACACTGCAATAACATCATGTACAGAACAGTAATTAGCAATTAAAACATTAGCAAATTAATTTATGTACAACACAGGTTTCTCAAACAATGCTGGACAAAGCGTGTATGACACAAAAGGATATACACACCGTGGGCTGGGGGTGTAGCTCAGTGGTAGAGTACTTGCCTTGCATACTCCAGGGCCTAGGCTCAATCCTCAATATCACAAAAGAAAAAAAAATGAAGGAAATGCTGTACAATTCAATTTATATAGTTCAGAAGTATTCAGGCAAATCTAAAGTATGATATTAAGGACATAAATTATAAAAGTGAGAAGAAAATATGATACAAGGTATCACAGTATAATAGCTCTTGATATAGGCAGTATCACACAGATGTCCAGTCCAGTGTAATATTGAGTGGTACACTTCTGATTTGTTCACCTTTCCAGCTGTGATACAACACAAGAAAAAAGGTTTAAAAACATAAGCCACTCAGCTTGGTGGCACACACTTGTAATAGCTTTGTTTTTGTTTTTTGGGGGTATTGAGGATTGAATTCAGGACCTTGTGTTTGCGAGACAGGTGGTGGAACCACTGAGCTAAATCCCCGGCCCTGTAATAGCGTTCATGTAGAAGGCTGAGGCAGGAAGATCACAAGTTCCAGGTAAACCTCAGCAATTTAGTGAGACAGTGTATCAAAAAATAAATAAAAGAGGGGCTGGGGATTTAGCTCAGTGGTTCTGGTGCCTGCCTCACAAGTGCAAGGTCCCGAGTTCGATCCCTGGTACCAAAAATAAATAAATGAATGAATGAATGAATGAATGAATAAATAAATAAATGGACTGGGGATGTACCTTAGTGGTAAGTACTCACCTACCATGTGGTAGGCTCTTGGTTCAATCCCCAGTGCCCCCACCCCCTGCACACAGAAAGAACCCTGTAAACCAAGTAAAAATACCTTCTCTTCCATTCCAACAGTGGTGGGCACTCAATTTTCCCTAAAATAGTCAAATTGCTATTTTTCCTCCTGGAATTTTTTTCTTCCCAAAGTCATTATCTCATTCCTTAACACACAATCTTTTCTTACCTCAGTCTTGTTCTGTAAAATCCAGGCCAAACGCATGGAAACTTGCTGGGTAGTGAAAGTAAACTGGCTGCCTGTTAAAAATCGCCTCTTTCTAGTGAAAAAGTAAGCCACTCTGCAGAAACTGTGAAATACCTATTTTAAAAAAAAGATATTTAATGATATTCGATGTTTCCATGTCAGTTCATACACAGGCAAACATACCCAATAACAAATGAGTCATTTTACTACTTATGGTGTTCTCAGTACTAAAGAAAATCACGAGCATCCAAAAAACTGAAATACCTAGGAATCAACCTAATGAAAGAAATCAAAGACCTCTTCTCTGAAAACTAT